AGTCCTCTTTTTCAACAAAAAAAAAAAAAAGAAAAAAAAAAAAAAAAGCCCAGCCTGTGGATTTGTGCTCGGCTCGCTCTCGCTGGGGGAGCGAGGGGATGGCTGTCGGACCCCAGCTGGGACGAGGAGGAGCTCGGGGGCTCTCACGGCATGTGTCTTGACTGTGATCCAAACACATCGACTAGCTTAATAAAATACGAGATGTTTGTACCTCCTGTTCTGTGGTGATTCCCAGCGCGGCCCTGGAGACGGGTATGTTCTTGATAGGTGAATCCACCCTCAAACGGGCACTTCGCTGACCAAACTTTCTGCTTTTCAGGCCAAAAATATATAAAAAAAAGCTTTGCCATTCCCAAACCCTTTGAATGTTGTTTGACTTGGGTGAAGGAAGGCATCACCTTGGTTTGCTTTTGAGTTGATAGGATGAAATGTAGGTGGGTCCCTTCCTTATCCCTGTAGCAGCGAGGGCGGTTCCTTCGCTCGCTGCCTTTGTGGTTCGGGATGAGTTCGCCCTTTTGCCGTCACTCTGCCTGGAATCACGCAGTCATTACGGTCAGAAGAGACCTTTAAGATCCATCAAGTCTAAAGTTAACCCAGCACAGCCGAATTACCACTAACCCATGTCCCCCAGCACCCCGTCCGCCTCCAGGGATGGGGACTCACCCCCTTCCCTGGGCAGCGCGTTCCAATGCTTGACAACCCTTTCCGTGAAGAAATTTCTCCTAATATCCAAACTAAACCTCCCACGCTGCTGCCCGCGGGAGCATCCCCGACGCCGGCGATGTTGTGATGGGCAAAAATAACCGCAGTGGTTCGTGGGGCGACTTCTCAGCTCGGTTTTAAACAGGGGAGGGCTGGTGGAAAGTATATGTTTGTTAAAATGTGTGACTTCTAAGTGTTAATTGGAGGTGCCTTGAAGAGGTTTGGTTTCGGGGACAGAGCTGGGCTCTGTGTGAGTCCGTGCCAGCACTGGTGACGAGGGATGCTGGAGGGTGGTGTTTTACAGGGGGAGGGGGAGAAAAAAAATGTCCTCCATTCCCTATATTCATTCCCAGCAAAGCTCCTTTATTTGCGCTGCTGGTGGAAAGCGCTGAGCCGGGCACCGGTACGATTTTCTCTCCTTCCCTGGTTCTTTGGAGGCTGCCAGCGGAGGGGAGGTTGGTGAGGGGGGCCGGGGGGAGTTGTGAAAAGGCGAATCCGGCTTTCCCCAGTGGGAGAATAAGCCGTGGGCGACTTCTTCCCGCGGGGCGAGACGTGCCCTGCGTCCCAACGCCCGCTGCCCGCCGTGGCACAAAAGGGACCTGTCACTGCCGGCTCTGGCCCCTCCGAAGGGGCTGGAAAACGCCTCTTCCAGCCCGGGCTTTAATGGCCTCGGCGGGGGCTGTGTGTGTGCTGCCCGCTCCGTTAAGGAGCCCCGTGCCTCCGTTTTCGGTCGGTGTGGGCAGGCGCGTTGCCGCGAGGGGTGCCCCATCGGCGTGGGGCTGGAATTGAAGCGGGATAAAAACCTCCTAACGCCCGTCAAGAGTTGGGACTCCTGGTCCTGCTCATTGGGGTGCCGAGTCCTCGGAAACCCAGGGAGCCTCCCTGGCTCCAGCCCCGCTCGCCGGCCTTTCCCCTCCCTCTCTGCGCCTCCGCTTCCCACTTCTCCCACATTTCCCAGCCCCGAATAGGTCCCCACCCCGGGGTTGCTGTGCTCCGTGCAGGGTATTTCCGAGGGGCTTTTCAGCACCGGGGCCTCCATCCCTGCGTGGACCCTGTGCAGGTGGGCACCGAGACCCCAAACCCTCCCACCGGCCTCCTGCCAACCCCTTGACCGGAGAAACGCAGCTTCCCC